TGAGTGTCAATAAGAAAGAAAAGCCATCATCATACCCACACCCTCAAAATTTAGTAGGAGTTACCAGGACCTACTTTTTAAGAACTTATTTTTTCTACGGAATCATTTATTTATTCAGTATTCATTAAGATTTATTGATTTTAATATTTCAACACACCCACACCAAAACATGACATCAGGTCTTGGCCACCTTCTTGGAAGAAAACAATATTTTTTGACAGATTTTATTTTTAAAAATCTATATCATGATTAGTTTTTTGTATTTTGTAACCCGAGATTGGGTGTATATCATCTAGAAATAGTTTCAAACTAGAACTTTTAACATACGTAAAAAATAAAATAATATTTTTCAGAATAATTTTCAATTGTTTATTTTGAAACTTAAACTAATAAGCTTTGATTTCTTTAGCAAAAGAGCATTCTCTTAAATCAATTTTTTTCTTTGATAATTGTCAAAAGAAAATTCAATGTAATTGATCGGAACTCTATCATCTATTTGAAATGAAATCGACAATTACAAAAAAAGATCTTCTTAAACTCAATAACTTCATTTTCATTAAAAGCATTTAAATCTATTCCAATCAAAACAAATTTATATTTCTTCTTTTTTTATATTTTATTATATATTATCATGCCAATTCTTTGATGAAAAGTTCTGTCTTAAATGTTTATATCAAAAAAATCGACATATTTTTTGCAACCTAAAAAGCGTTGTTTTATTTCACATATTTCAAATGCCATATTTTGCTTTTTTCATTGATTGATATTTTGATAAAGCAAACAATTCAATTCATTTTCTGTATATTTGAACAGAAAATATTTAAAAAAAAACATTCTCATTTTTATTTGTTTAATTAAACTTTATTCACAGACTCAGATTGAAAAGAACTGTTCGGAATGAACTTCCTTTTTCTTGTTTTATTTTCATTTTTCAAGTTGTTTGTCAACGTTTTATATAACAGAAATAAAAAGAACATTTTTAAACAAAATATCGACTGAAAAAGTTATTTGACATTGGAATAAAATAAGATTATCATCAGCAACAACATATCTAGTAATTTCTAATAAAGATCTTAAGCTCGATTTAGCCAATTTTCATTGATCATTATGTTAAATTCAATAAGAATCTAAATTTGACTTTTCTTTCTGTGTTCGACATTTGAAAGCTGTTTGTTGACAGTCCAAATAACCTAATAGCTTTTTTGCTCTACAAAGACTAAAAAGTTTTTTTTTCTGAATTATTCATCAGCAACAAAAATATCAACGCAAATGTACCTTGTCTACCGTTTAGTTAATCATTTCTCTTTCCATTAAAAGTTTCGTCAGCCATATTAGAGTATTATTCACCACCCGCTTTAAATACACAAGTGACAAGTAAGTTCTGCATTTATTTTACTTTCTCATCGTTTTCAGAGCAAGAATCAATATAAAAAAAATCGATGGATTCGAACGGTAAATATCCTTTTCATAATGATTTTAACTTATTATTCAACTTTTCTTGTTACTTAATTCATTAATCTTTTTATTTGGCTAATGAACAAGTTCCAAAAATTGCAAAATTTTCACCTATGCTTCCTCCTGAATCGGAGGTCTCTAAATGTCCACCCAGACAAGCTCAGGAGTAACGTACAGTGTTTATATCGTATAAACTGACGTTTATTTCAAAAGTTCCTAATCTTCACAATTATTTACGTAGAAAAAACTAATCACATTCATTTATTTAGTGGTGATTAGCTTTTTTACTTTTTATTTATTTCATAGTTTTATGAAAACTTTCTTTAATTTAATAACCTATTTCTAAAATGCGTTCTAATTTTAAATATTTATTTTGAAAATAAAAATTGAACAAACTTGTCAACACAGTTCCTGCAAAGCTAAAATGTGGAACTCACTCGTAGTTCTTAAGCTTCGTTATACTAATACGAAATACTTGAATTGTAAACTTTTTACCAGACTATTAGTTGTTTTGTAAGAATAATTGATTTAAACAGAGACAATCTCTCTGATTCATTTACTTTGTGATTATTCATTTTCGTATGTCGTTTTTCTCTTGTTACTTTGATATGATTATTATTGTAATCACCAATTATACGTACCTTGATAACCTATCAAGCACTCGTATTGATTGTTTCGCAAAGCTGTAGCTTGATTATTTGAAGTTTTCAATGCTGATCATATCCCAATTGTGACAAACGTATACACCAAAATTAATCATCATCATTGATATCATGAATCGAAATTATTATTTGCACAAGAATCACACTATTTCAAACGTTGACGAACGCAGTTCACACATTCAAGCTCTGAGATTATCTAAAATTTTCTATTATATTATAAGTAGTATTGCTATTTTCGCTCAGTACTTTTATCATGACTAACAATGGTAGGGCGTGTTTTATAAGTTAAATTGATTGACCATATTCGGGTCAAATTAATGCTCTCATCGTCAAACCAACAATTGTAAAATACTACGTGCCCATAGTGTGCGTAGAGAGAGATGTTTGAATTTCAAGATATATGAAACGAGAGGGTCTCCTAAGATCATATATTGGACTATCGAAGTTTTTTCATCGGAATCCTTGTCATTTTATACCCAATGAAAAATCTTGTGCAAATGAGCATCTTCTTTGACAAAACGTACTACTTTTTGACTTAAAAATCAAAGGCTTGATCAAAGTTAATATTCGGTGTTTTTGGGCTTATATTGTTTCTATGACTAATCTCAAATAGGGTTTCTATTTACAAAGAGCGAACGAGACAAAAATTAATGTTTTACAGCAACTAGTACATCACATTGTCAAAAAGCATTGATACAGATATAAAGCTTTTCCTTTTCGTATGTGGGTGTGGATACATATGAGAGTAAAGTTAAATAGTACATGAATTGAAGATTCTCAACGATACGCACATCGACATATCTTCAAGTCTGAAGAACTAAAGCAAAAAACTTCATGTTTATATCAATGCTCTAGGAGAGTGTGAGTGAGGTGTAGATGTGAGTTAAAATAAGATGAAAGAATCAGAATCTTGCGAATTTTTTAGAATTTGTACATACACATTTTGAAGTAATTTTGTCTGGACCAGAACCATGATCATGACTATAACCGCACAAAAAGAAATTATCGCTACCTGACTCAAAAAACTTCGTCTCGCACATACTATGCAAGGGAGAAAAGGCATACTTCTGTGCTTCTGAAGTATGCAGAAGTACAGAAGAACCAAGAAATATTCAGAACTATCAGGAAGTAACGACGCGTATCAAGATCAATTCTTTTGCTTCATATATTTTATCTCTCCTTGTCTGTTCATTAATCTAACCAAGAGGCATAAATTACGTGTTTTTCTTTTTGATTATCTTACTGCAAAATAAAACATAGTAAAAAGAAGACCAGCACTTTATCCTCTAGTGTGACTTCCACTTTTATTGTTTGTTTATTAGGTTTGTTTAATGAAAATAGTATATATGTTGGAGGTAGAATTAAAATTCTAAATCTGATTGGACAAAATTGAAATATTTCATTGATGAGCCGTAAAACTTCATAAAATCAAATACAAAGTGCATGAAGGGAAGTCTAGCTGACGATGAAGGAATCACAGTGCAGGTACAGCTACGAGTCCAAATGTGGATCTGATTTTGTTTTTCTCTTTTCTCTCCCATCGTCGAGACGATCTACATGCTGTCCCTCACGCAGCTTCTTCACATTCATTCCAGATCCCCTCACTGTCATTCCTGGCCTACTCGTGCACTTAGTGTTTGTTTTTTCCAAGCTTTTCTATTTACCAAAGAAATATTCCAATTCTGCCGAAACAAATTCTAAATATGACCATTTCTCAATTTTGCCCCCAACATATGTTTTACAGAAAAGTTGATTATATGTCTCTTATTATTATTATGCGTGTGGCAGTTCGGTAATGATTCCGATCTAAGGAACTGACCTGTTCAACTAGACCAGTTTCTTTCAAAAAAATGTTCCAAAAGTTTATTTGATGTGAACTTATGATCTGCAGTTGATCTACATTTACTTATTATCTCTAGAGCAAAAGAAATATGTAAAACTATAGAGAAGTGGGTACACATGTGAAGAAGTACAGAAGTATATCTTTTCTTCCTTGATCTCGAGTCGAATCACTTGGACGTCGTTGAACTTCAGATCGAGTTAGATTAGGAAATAATGTTCATTCAATGTTTGATTTGATCAAGTTCTCTCAAACTTTGTATAAGAACAGTTGATTCATTTTATCTGTTCAAAGAATAGAGATTAAATTACCTATACATCTACAGATTTCTTATTTTAGATCATCATATGTTAAATCTTACTCTTAGAGTGCTCAAAACGATTTATTCACTTCTCGAGTCGATTCAGATGAGACGAAAGATAATTCGGATAGAGTTATGTAAAAAAAATGGCATGTGACGATGTCTGAAAAGAAGATCACTTAGCGAAGTTCTAACTTTTCGAAGTGGATCATTATTTATCTGAAGTAAAAGTTGTTCTAAAGAAAGTTATATCTATTCTTAACTTATAAAACAAATGATGATGTATCATTAGCTCTATAAGTATGATTATTTCTTAAACTTAGACAAAAGCTCTCATTGATCAAGTTATTAATGTTAACAACTAAATTTTCTATCTGGCTGGATATCGAAGGAAGTATGAAAAATATTAGAATGCTGTATGACACCATCCATATCTATTTCGATATTTATACCCAACTTTCAACGAATAGAAATCGTATTTTTTAAATATCTGATTATAGAAGAAAAAGCACTATTTAATTGGTAAATATTACTCAGACAGCGAAATTAGGTAACAAAAATTTGATTTATCGGAGATAGTTTTCAAGAATGTAATCATTCATACAGTTGTGTTACACTGATGATTTCTTGTTCCAAGTAAAGATGCAGAATTCTTTTTCTTTTCTTTTTCGTATAGATTATATATTACATTAGACTATACTACTTCCTACGAACTAAAATAAACAATCGAATTCTTTCTCAGATGGCTGATGATGATGGAGGTGGAGATAGAGATGTTGAAATGGATGAAGATTTAGAGGAAGATCAGAGAACACAAATAAGTGAACAACAATTACAAGGTGATGGTCGAATGCAAATTCTCAATGAAGATGTTTTGGATGGAACACAGCCAGGTATGAGAACTGAACCATTGAAGCAAATAACAACAGCAGGGTGTGGGTGTAGGTGTGAGTGTGAGTGTGGGTGTGGGTGTAGGTATTGACTAAATGAACACCCACACCCACACCCACACCCTTTCATATAATTCTCCATCAATTCCTTATCGTTCTCCATCAATTCCTTATGCGTCTCCATCAATTCCTTCTACATCTCCATCAACTGCTTATGCTTCTCCGTCATCGAATAAATTATTACAAATACCAATACATGATCGATCAGCATCAGGTAAGAAATAATAATTATGACTAAGACGCACAAAATATAAATCATATTCTAGTCATAGATGCTTCATATAATGAATCAAAATTAATTCCAGCTTGTTTACCTACTCCAAATCCATCGTCACATAATTTTACATCACGATTCCGTGCAGATGTTGTGCAACTTGTCGAAACGAGTAACATTCACAAACATAGCGACACATGCTATAAGTATTGGAATGCTAGTCGAGGTGAAAAGAAAAGCTGCCGAATACGTATGCCACGCAAATTAGTACCAGTTTCGACGATTGATCCAGACACTGGTCATATCTCAATGCGACGATCGGATCCAATGATCAATAATTTTAACGAATGCCTTATTGCAGCTTGTCGTTCCAATATGGATGTCAAATTTATTTGAAGTGGCAGTGATGCAAAGGCTCTTGTTTATTATATTACTGATTATGTGACAAAGATGAATCTCTCTTTTCATGATACATTTGCTCTTGTACAAAAAAGTATTACATCAATTATGAATTCATCGCATCAAACAGACAAAGAAAATGCAATTGAAAAATCACGAAAGCTCGTTTTACGCTGTTACAATACACTTGCTTCTCAACAAGAACTATCTGGAGTTCAAGTTGCTTCTTATCTCATGAATCGGGATTATCATTATACAACACACAAATTTCAAGGCCTTTATTTAATTCAAACTGAGCGATATTTACAAACACAATTAAATGAAATGCGCTCCAAACGAAAATTGGAATTTTCATTGCAAGGTTAGTATTTTATCTTTTTTATTTGATCAATTAGTAGTAAATATTATTATGAAATAACCAAACAAACAGTGGAAATTTCTTGAGTTAAAATATCATAGTTCGATAAAAAATTATATATGTAATGTCTTTTGTTTACAGACATGATCGACGATGATGTATATGATGATGAGACAATTGATAATGAAAACGATGACGAAGAACATTTTCAAATTGAATCGGCTGAAAACGAGAAAAAATACGTACTTGTTAACACACGAATTGATTATCAATATCGTTCCGATTATCTTAATAATATGTGTTTATTCGACTTTGTTAGTATATTATACAAGAAAAAAATGAATGCAACAGATGTAAAATATTTATCGAAGACTGCTGTATCAATAGAAGAAGAAGAAGGTAACAAAAAAGGTTGACCAGCTAATGAACGTTACCCTTTCCAAAAACAACATCCACAAGCAACAACACATTTATTGATGAAATACAGTGAGTCACATGTACCTATTCTTTATGGCCCACAAATTCCTCGACGTAATCGTGAAGATACTCGAGAGCGATATAGTCGAGCTCTTCTTACACTTTTCGTACCGTGGCGTACTGCTCCTGATATTTGCGATGTCAATCAAACATGGGAAGATGCTTTCAAATCTCGAAAAAATCGTATTTCTATTCATTCATGGAAGATCATAGAAAATATTCAACTTTTACATGAATGCAAAAAAGATCGTGATGAACATTTACTTCAAGTTATTGCTGAAGCTCAAACTGATAATGATACAATCGATCCTGTTCTTTTGCCTGCAAATCGATATATTGATGGCGAAGGTGATATGGACGATAGTGAAAATTTATTAGAATTACTAGGCAATTTAGATGAATATACAGCTGCAGCAATTAATGCTACCAAAAAATCAACAGAAGAGAAATATATCGAAGAAACAATTGAAGCAATCGAAAATGTTGGCCGATTCAGTCATCTAAATAGTAAATATCACTGTAAGATGATTAGTAAGTTAAAATTGAAAATAAATATGTAAATTTTTTTGTAGCTCATCATCAACCTTCTTCAAATGAATTTATCGATTATCCAAATCAAAAAGCTGTATCGTTCGTTTCTGCAACACCGAATCTTATTCAACTAAACACAAAATGGCAAGAACAACTAAAGACTGAGAAAGAACGAGTTAGACGAAGTTTAATTACAGGCAACTATGACAAATCAGATGATACATTAGATTTACATGCTGCAAAAGATGCCGTTGTAACAGTGGTGAATCCAAATAATTATAAAAGTAACAATTTTGAAAATTATGGCTCGATTCTTCCAGTGGTCTCAGTCACAACAAACTTGCCCACTCCAAAAACTATCGCTGATGAATTTACATTAAATAGAGAACAACAAGCTGCTTTCATGATCATTACAAGCCATCTTGATGGTGACAGTAGATGTCGTACAGGGATTTTTACAATATAGCCTATTACGAATTGATATATACTGTATTTTTAGGTGATAATAACGGTCAACTTATAATGTGCATACCTGGATGTGTCGGCACAGACGAATCACAACTTATTCGTGCTCTTAGTAAATATTTTCTTATTACAAAAAGAATACAAATGATGTGAAAACTTGCACCTACTGGAATTGCTGCTGCTGAAAGTGGTGGTATGACAATTCATTCATTTTTGGGTGAACAACGTAATTCTGGAAAACCACGAGCCATCAAACCGGGTGATTCAAAACATGAAAAAGAATGGAGACTCGTCGAATATCTACTGATCGATGAAATGAGTATGGTTGGTTTAAACTTATTAGCAAAACTTAATTGAATCATTTGCTTTGCAAAGCATGTTGATCCACAAGTTCCATTCGGTGGTGTAAATGTTGTTTTCTTCGGTGACTATTTACAATATCGACCTGTATATAATTTACCATTACACACTGATTTCTCATTACCGTTGAAAAAATCCGGTAAATTGTCAAATGAAAAAGAAATTCAACAACGTGTTGCACGTTCTTTAATTCTTCAAATCAGTTGCGTCGTAAAACTTACTCAACAAATGCGAACAGAAGATCCAC